CTGGCAGCCTCAGGAGTCTTCTCGTGCTCTGTGTCATGGAGTGAGCAGGTAGAATAAGGGGCTGCTGGAGAGGTGGGGGCAGGTCATGGAGCACCCTGCCAGTCATGGGGAAGACCTTCCTTTGCAGGGACACTAGGAAGCCACTGAAGGATCTGTAGTCCAAGGCTCTTGATCAGCATGTCATTCCAGGAGAGAGGGAAGGTGTGTCAAGAGCATCTGAAACCCTCTGTTGAACCACATCTGCACACTCACTGGGGATTATTACTTTTTCAACACTTGACCCAGATGATTGGAGCAACATGGGCTCCTGTTTAGCTGTCCTTCCTTCATTTTCTAGCAAGAATGAGCATTTTCCCGTTTGCATATTGGTCCTGTGGATTTCATTTTTTGTTTCCGTTCTTCCTTGTTGGTCTTGAAGGCGAAACCAGATCCAGGGCCTCCAGGAAAATGCTCGGAATCTGCCCAAGCTGCCCAACCTGTCCCCACTCGCCATCAAGCACCTGTGGATCCTCACCGCCTTGTTTGAGAAGGTCCTGGACAAGATTGTGCATTACCTCATGGAAAACAGCAGGTGAGGGGGAAGGCCAGATGCCCGGGTGTGCTCTGCCTCCACCTGCTGCCTGTCCTGGGAGTTGCACCTTCTCGTCTTTCTTTGTCCCATTGACAATGCAAGTGGGTTTGAAAGTGATTTTAAACAGGCCTCCTGGATGTTCCACCCTGAGCCAGGCCAGCTTAAAAAAATGAGAGGATTTGGGTGTTTAAGATCATAGGCTTCTGACTTAGGGCAGGGTGAAGGGATCCTGGGTTTCTTCCTTCTCCTGTAGAAGACTCCACTTGTGGCCTTAAGGGGCGGGTGCGGGGGGCAGGAGAGAATAACCTGTGCAGGTGTGTTCTGTTCCTCTTCCCATCTTACCGCAGAGGACTCTGAAGCATTCACTTGCCTAGGGAGCCACAGCAAGGTGGCAAGTGGCTGAGTGGGGCTCCCATGCAGTCTGTCTGACCCCACACCCATGTCCTCCACTCACTGCTGGGTGACAGCAAGGGCCAAGCCAACTGGATGTAGCCCAAGCCTGCACAGCCCTACAGATGCAGTGACCTGACATGTGTCATCTCCAGCAAGTCATTTACCCTCTCTGAACCCAGCATCCCTGAGAGGCTCCTTCCAAACTTTGAATTCTGTTCGTCTGGGCGTCGCATGAGTTTTCAAGGATTTAGAAACCATGACACCATCGTAAGTCACACAAACAAACAAATGCAAAAGCATTCATCCTGATCCTTGTCTGGATGACATCCCATAGTACCTTGCAGAGCCGAATTTCAGGGGGCTTTTCTGAGCATCTCAGGCCAGTGTTCCCAGCATGAGGTATCGGGGCAGGAAGGCCTGTTAGCACAGCATTGGGAGCACAGTGCAGGTAAGAGGCATTTTATTGTCTCAGAGAGAGAAAGGCAGACATAGCTGAGCCTCTCAGGACCTCCTGTCTTCAGCAGAAG